CCCACTAGCCTATCCAGAAGGATAGGCTAGTGGGATTGGGAGTTGGAGGCACTGCTTTGCGGTGGTTCCGCTCCTATCTCAATGGCCAATTCCAGAAGGTGGTGCTGGGGGACTATGGCTCTGTGCCATGGCAGTTATGCCATGGAGTTCCGCAGGGGTCCATTTTGTCCCCCTTGCTATTTAACATCTACATGAAACCGCAGGGAGAGGTCATCAGGAGGTGTGGGCTGTGGAGTCATCAGTACGCTGATGATACCCAGCTCTACCTCTCTTTTTCAACTAATCCAGGTGAGGCAATGGCTGTGCTGAACCGGTGCCTGGCCGAGGTAATGGGCTGGATGAGGGCCAATAAACTGAAGCTCAGTCCAGACAAGACGGAGGTCCTGTTGGTGGGTGGTTCGGACTTCAGGGTGGGGGACTTGGGCCTTGTCCTAAATAGGGTTGCACTCCCTCTGAGGGAGAGGGTTCGCAGCTTGGGAGTGCTCCTCGACCCTGAGCTGTCATTAGAAGCTCAGGTGACGGCGGTGGTGAGGAGCGCCTTCCTTCAGCTCCGGCTGATCCATCAGCTGCATCCCTACCTGGAGTACGACTGCCTGGCGACAGTGACCCACGCGTTGGTAACTTCCCGACTAGACTTCTGTAACGCGCTCTACGTGGGGCTACCCTTGAAGACGGTCCGGATACTTCAATTGGTGCAAAATAGAGCTGCCAGGTTGCTGACAGGGACTGGGCATTGTTCTCATATAACCCCAGTTCTCCATCAGCTTCACTGGCTCCCTATTGAAGTCCGGGCCCAATTCAAGGTGTTGGTGATGACTTATAAAGCCCTTAACGGCTTGGGACCTGGTTATCTAAAGGAACGTCTGTGTCCATATATGCCCCCCCCCCCCCCCCACGATCGGCAGCAGATGCCCTTCTCCGGGAGCGCTCCGTGAAGGATATTAGGAGGGTGAGTACCCGGAGGAGGGCTTTCTCTGCGGTAGCGCCCCACTTATGGAATACACTCCCCAGAGAGGTCTGCCTGGCGCCGTCATTATTTGCTTTTTGGCACCAGGCAAAGACCTTTTTATTTAAAAGTTATTTTAACTGTTAATTTATTATTATTGTACTTATAGATTTTAATATATAGCCGAGATGGTACCAGTTTTTAAATTATTGATTGTGTTATTTTGTAATTTTATGGATGTTGTGAGCCGCCCCGAGGCTTTGTTGCGATGGGGACAGCATAGACATGTTTTAAATAAATAAATAAATAAATAAATAAATAAGATGGGGGTGGAGTCTGATCACCCTCACCTTTAACTAGGAACCAGGCATCACAGTAGTCCTCAGCATCCTCACTTAACTGAGGAGTAATTATGGGGTGGGGCAGCAACGGCAAAAGCTTAGTTAACCTACCTGTGCACTTGTGCATAAGGGTGAACCTATTTGACCAGCTAGCCCAGGGGTAGGCAATCTGGTGCTGCCTGAATATTTTGGACTACAATTCCCATCAGCCTGAACCACCATGGCCAATACTTGAGGATATGGGAGCTGTAGTCCAACATTTCTGGAGGGCACTGGGTTGCCTGCTCTTTTGCCAACTGGCGCCCAGTTCTGCAACATGTAATTAAGCAGTCCTACCCAAGAAATGCCACTGGAGTTGGAGCAGGATGGAGGCAGCGACCAAACAGCCGGAATCCTGTGGGTGCATCAGCACTCTCAAGTGGGCACCCAACCACATCACAGACCAGCATGCCTAACCTGTGCTCCCCCCACAGATGCCCTGACCCCATCAGTGCTGCCAGATTCCCCCCACCCAGCCTGCACGCCCTACTTGCTCCCCACCCAGAAGCAGCAGCAACCTGTGCCAGGATCGCTGAGATACGTGTGTGTGGGTGCACAGCTCCTTCACCCGCACCCCAGTTGGTCCTCGGGGCTGAGAAATGGTTGTGCACCCCTGGCCCAAGGACAGCACTGCTGGCCTGTTTCGGGATGATGCTTTGTGAGAAGCATGGAAATGGGACGCAAAGCTGGGCACAGAGGTGGAGAGAGCCCGCCAATGCAGACTGAAAGAAAATAAATAGGAGGACCCCACACATGGACTGGGCGGGTTTCTTTGCGGCGTGACAGCAACTGTGGAGCCACATGAGCCTTTGCAGTTCACAGATCCGGGGAGGGCATAAGCCTGGCTATTAGAGAGGGAGACATGCCAGGCAGCTGCCTAGCTGGCCTCTGAGCATTTTATACCGAGAAGGGAACCGACTGCAAGGTCCTGTGCAGGGGGCAGCTAGGTGTGCTCCGGAGTGCGTTGCTGTCTTGGCTTGCTCTGGCAAGTGGCACCACTGCGAGCCAATGAGGATGGCAAGCAGCTTGCACACTTGCCTGCTTGCCCTGCCCACCCTTGAGAAAGCATGTGAGGGGCTTGGTGCCCAAGTTCAAAAGCAAACCCAGCGTGCAACTGTTGCATGCACAAACGTGTGTGCAAATAACCTTGCAAGGGTGTGAAGTGCAAATGGGCAAAGGGCTTGCGTTACAGGAGTGTGACTGGGCCTCAAGCAGCAGCCATTGCAACAAACTCACACATTGAAAGCTGCCTGTAAGCTCTCTCAGCAGCCCTGAAACCCAGCTGTATCTCCGTACCTAAAGCAGGGACAGGACACCCAGCGGCCTTCAGATGTTTTGAACTGTAACTCCCACCAGCCTCAGCCAACGTGTCCAAGAGTGGTGGGTAATGGGAGTTGGAGTCCAAAACATATGGAAGGCATCAATTTGCTTACCCCTGGTCTATAACATCCCCCTCCCCACCCCAACCGCCCTCCAATCATCTGGGAAGTGAAAAGGAAAGTTAACTTGAGATGTTAACTAATGCAAATCAATGGAACATATTTTCATTCATCTCTCCAGTGGAGAGATTCACACGACCCAGATGAGCATACTGTTTCCACCTCCTTCTGCAAAGGAGAGGCATAAGTAGCCCCTGCAGCCGTCACACCCAGAGCGTGGGAGCAGGGCGTGTGCCCATCCTTTGCAGAGCTTCCATTGCCTCATGTTTGTAACATCCAAAAGGCTCAGTTCTGCGTGGCATCCTCTCTGACCCATGAGGATCATGGAAACAGAAGAAGCACTTTTTCCACAAACTAAGTTACCCCCATTTACTGTGGCCTTGCATGCTCTCTTCTCAGCCCATGTCAACAGACAAAGTCATAGCCGCGGACACAGAAATAGCAGTAGATCCATGCTGCGAGAATAGAATCATGTAGTACATCAGACCTCCCTCATAACTGAGGCTGGGGGAGGGAGGGTCACTGAAAGGAGACGCTTAAAAAAATCTATTTCACAAATGGAGGAAAAAGATAATGAGAGAGGTATATCGATATATCCATAGCGGAACAGCCCCATATCCTCTCTAGCCATCAGGCCAGTTCATTGGACACTGATCTCATATCTTACAGGTAGGCAAGCTGTTGAGGGTAGAGAGAAAGAGATAACATACATCACAAAACGTAAGAAAATGTAAGCAATCTAAGCAACCCAGGGAGCCGGGCCTGACCCCTGCCAGGAAAGGGGCAGCCATTTTGTCTCTGAGTCAACACACATGCACACAAGCTCGACACCCCCTGCAGGATGCTGCAGCAAAAGCCATTTGTCGGATCTGGCAGTCCGTGTGAACAATCTCTATCGCTTCCTTTGCAGACAGGAAGCAGAACAGTCTCGCTGTATCCCAGCACTTCCATGGCTACATTGTCAAGGGATGATGGCTACACCCGTTCTGGAGTCTGCCACCAAGCCATGGAGTTGAAGAGGAGCATCAAGGCCCCAGAAGTGGCAGAAATATGCACTCCTTCAGAAATATGTCTTCAGTCCTAGACCAGAGGTCAAAGGCTTTGATGGGATAGCGTCGCTCTGGGCCACAGACACTCACAGAACCCAGCTCCGCTGCAGAGAGTCCTTGATAGCCAGGAATCTGTCTCGAAACAACCAGCCTCCTTCAGCCCTGGCTAGGAAACCATCACAAGTGCCAGGACTGGGCCTCAGATCTCTTGCATGAAGTCGACAGGAAACAGCCCCACCTTGCGGCCAGTGTAGACCTTCACATACCCATTCAGCTCCTCACCTTTCTGGACCACAATCTACAGCAGAATGGGGGGGGGGAGAGAATGAGTGAGGTGGGTCTGAAGTCAGCTGGGGCCAACACTTAAGATTATAAGCCTGCAACTTCTCCCAGACAAAGGAGGGAAACAGGAGCAGTTGTGGGGCTTAAAGCCACACAGAGGATCAGTTTAAAAGCCCTATGTAAGCTTGTATCTCAGAGGTGCAGTACTGCTCAAGGGGAAGAGAAAGGAGTGTGCGAGATGGCATAGAGGCTTTCAGGAGAAGGTCTTTTGCAACATTTTGTCTGGGAAGCATCTGGTGATGTTCAGTGCCTGAGAAGTGGGATCTCCCGTGAGGGGGAGGTTTCACAATCAGCACAAGAACTCTTTTTAGAAGGTGGTTATGCCCAAATGATGTTAAATCAGGCCGGAAGGAAGGAATGAAGGAAAGGAGATCCATTGCAAATTGATGTTTTATATTAACATTTTAGTCAACAATCCCCTTTTTTCAACCAGCCTACAAGCCAGGAAAATACTAAATTGTTTTAAGCATCACCTGTAAACTGCTCAAGAGATCAAGGAACATGCATTTCTGGGGAGCTCATAAAATTAAAACCTTAGAATACAATATGATAAAACATAACATAAGCTTTTACTAAAACATAATGCCAGTAACAGGGTAAAGATCTAAAAGCACAGTAACATCCTTAGAAACAATCGAAGGACCAAAAAGTCTTCAGGGGTAAAATTAATGGAGCTGAAACCCATTTGCATGAGAAATATCTGGGAAACTTGGAGGTTTGGGGATGCAGGTGAAGCATGAGCACCTGAAGGAAGCATTTCTACAAATCAGAGGACTGAACATCCACCCCCTTGCCCACCCCAACTTTAGCTATTCAGAGTTCTTTGAAAGTTAAATATCTCCAAAGGTCCTACCTGATCCTTTTTTAATGTGATCTGGCCAATCTCTTTGTTGCCCACGAAGGACCGCGTCACCTTGTGTACTCGTTCTCCTGCACGCACCCGAATAATGAAATTTGGTGGAAAGTATCCAATTTTCTCCCCAATCTCCCCAACTTTCTTGCCCTAGAAAAATCACATGGGACTGTAAATTTGAAAGAAGCTAACTCAAAAATTCCAAGTCCTGCCACCATCAAACAGAACAGAATGAATATACTTGTAGTTATTTCCTGCAAAAACAGCTAGAAAGAGAGAAAAAAAGAATCATGACAATTCTCACTCACTTCCTTCCCAACACTTAACTAAAGTTCTTTTCAGAAGGAAGAAGAGGAAGAGGAACAAAGTAACTAAGATTTTGGAATATAGGCTCTTGTTAACACAATAAATTCAGATTTATTCTTTTAAAAAAATCAACCACCAACTAGATTTCTCAGTGAGCTATTTCCAGGATTGCAGTGGAGCATGTTCTAAACAGGGAACATTAAAGTGTTGTATGAGACAGGTTGTTAAACCCTACAAAAAGGTTGTTCTCAAAAGGAAAGGGGGATTAAAATTACTGTTACAGGTTTCCTTGAATGACTTCACAAAAGTGTTCAGTTTGTTTACGCAGAAAACAGGGCAGGTTTCATTCCTAATGAGCTATTGCTTGAGGATGGAATATAACAAGTTTAGAGGCATACGTGTGGCCTGCATTGCCTCAAAATGATAATGTCATGGGAGTGGGGATGTGCAGGGAAGAATAATCAGACAGGAAGGGGTGCTTAACCTTTTCCCTCCCCAGTGACTCCCCTCACAGCATCTCCCACTCCGTCAGGTTTTTGCCCAGCTGGCTAAAGCAGGAAGTAGGCAGAGAGGCAAGCAGTGGCCTGTTCTCTAAAATGGCCCCCGTCCCTCAGCAAACATATACAAATCTGTGAACATCACCAGGGAAAAAGTTCCTGGGTAATACCAGTTTGGAGTGGAGAAAGGAAAGGCAGGGAAAGAACTTAGCACCCTGCTCCTCTGCCACTTCTCTGCTCAGCCACGTCATTTTTCCCTCCAGTGTTGTTGGGCCCTGCTGCATGGCCACAGCAGCCCTTTCAGAGAGCTCCTCCACAAAAAATGCTTAGTAAATGGGAAATGGTAGCAGAATTCAGTGTTAAATGATCCCAAGCCACTTCACAGGTCCATAAGCACTAAGATAAACAGTTTTATTTTCGTTTATTTGCAAAATTTATATCCTGCTTTTCAGTCAAATGACCCTCATGCCTTCCCCCTGCCTGCCCCATCGGCTATTTAATTCTCAAGAGACAACCCACGGGGCTCACACAGCCTGCTATATCGACCTTCTCTCCCTCTGCCACTATTTGCCCCATCCCTGTGCCTTCCTGTTGCTCGTGGAGGCTTTGTTGGCAGTTCAGCCCTGGCTGTGGGGTCAGGGAGAAGAAAACAGACTGTCCTGGATGGCAGCAGCAGTTGCAGGAAAGCAACGATTGCCCTCAACTCAGAGGTCACTGGATGGATTTGTTCACCCTTCAGTTTGACTGAGGAACAGTCAAGGGGAAGCGTGAATAAAAGTGACAGGCAGTTGTCATGTGAACGTGACCCGAGCAGCTCTGTAGGAGCACAGAGAAGCCGTGTCTTCAAGACACCACGAGAGCTGCATGTCAAGATAAAAACCCCTAGTTCTGAGGCTGCAAGTAAGGCAGTCCCAAAGAATGCTTGTGGATGCTTCCCATCCAATTGGGAAGATATTTCTAATCCTTAGTTCCGAGAGACCAAAATGATTCTCCCAAATGACCCGGGCACAGTCCCAAGGCAGAAACATTCTTCTTACCCGCCACCATTCTTCGTTGGAGTCATCAACAATGGCAATTTTGTCCCCAGGGCTGAAAGAGAAGAGGCCCACTTTGAACACAGTGATGCAAACCATGGTGGCCGTACATTCTGAGCTGCCCATTTAGATTCTGATGACTTGCACAGGGAATCATCTCTCTCCCCATCTCGAGTACTTGACCAAGTCAAACAGAAACAAATCTTCCTTGCTCCCATTGCCACCACTCACCAAAACAAGAAAGCCCTTCATGAGCACTGGGAGGTGCTAAGCAATTGCCATTCTCTTCCTTCCCCAAAAAGGCTGCAGCAGATGGCCTGTTCTGGAAGCAGCAGCTAGAGGGTGGTTTGGTGGGGGTCAACACCCATCATCACTTGAGCTGACATCGGCCGTATTCCCATAGCCCCTTCATCCTAACCCTACATTCTCTCCCAGTTCCAAAGTTTTGCAAGCTGTCCTGAGACAGAATGGGCATGTCACACTCCAGCAACCCCAGAACCTTTGTTTTCAGATTTATATGCTGCCTTTTTTTCTTTTTAAGAACTCAGAGCAGCATATATCATTCTCTTTCTTCTGCTCTCCACCTTATCCCCACAACAACAACCTGGTGAGGTAGGTTGGGTTGAGAGTCTGTGGCTGGCCCAAAGACACCCATTGAGCTCCATGGCTGAGTAGGGACTAGAACCCACATCGTCTGAGTCCCAGCCCTGTGCTTTTAGCAACTACACCACACTGACTTTCTTATGAACCTTCTTATATCGGAATACCTCATTAACTTCAGGCTAGGCTTGGTTGACTCAAATCATGAAAATAAGGGGAAAGGCACTGAGCTAAGAGAGATAGCTGCATTGTTTTTCACAGGGTTCATAAATCTTTGACTAAGGAACAATGCCTCAAAATAAGTGACACTTTGCAATTCTTCTTTTGGGCTCAGCTCATTTTTAATGCAGTCCTTCACCTACCCTAAAAAGTCATGTGGGCACGATGGATTTTAGAACTTTGCTCCCTGCCCCCACTAAGATCTTTCAGAAATCTGCCCAGCCTAGGAGTAGCAATTTTGTCAGGAAATTGAATTTAGACTTTATTTACTTCCTATGCCCTCAAGCCCCTAGCTCTGAATTAGCACACAGACATCTGGGAAACACCACCACAGCATTCAAGCCACCTTCACACATTACCTTCCAACATTAATGGTGATCTCAGTGTCAAAAATAATAATTCAATGGCCTCCAGGTGACAACTGGGAGCACCTACAGTGGCATCCCCCAGCACGGATCCTTCCAGATGCCTTGGACTACAACTCCCATAACACTCAACTGTCATCAGCTATGCTGGGTAGGGATTATGGAAGTTGTGCTCCCACACATCTGGAGGTTGCTGGGTTCAAGAGGTTTGAACCTATGGGATGAAGCACCACGTAGGTCAAGTACAGCAGAAATTGTGCCTAAAGAGCTCCAAGCTGGGACTGGCCTCTGCAAAGCAGTGATTTCAAGACCGGCTGAGCAGGGCATATTCTGACCAGCAGCAAGGTCACAAAAGAAGTCTCCTCACTCACTGGAAATCCAGGTCATCCTTCTCCAAGGCTTTGAAGCGATAAAGGGCAATGAAGTAGTGAGACTGTGGGAACCCCGCCTGCTGCTTCTTGCTCTGCTGGTGAGAAGAAAGGAGGCATGTTCAGGGACAGCAATGCATTCTTGAGCACATTCAGAAGAGCCCGGTCCCTCCAGGTTCAAAAGAATAGCCACTTCCAAAGCCACATCGCTCCGGATCCTTTTGTCCATCCGGGGGCAACGCATGTTAAATATCTGCCACAGAGAGGCCTATGTAAGCCATTCCCTGTGAAGGCCATTCTCTGCGTGAGTAGGAATTTAATTCGGCCTCCTTGGGGTGACAAGTTCATACTTTCTGGCCTTTAATTTTAATTTGTTCTTACATTTCATGTAAAACTTTTCTATGTTTTCACAAAACCCCTTCCATTCAACATTTCTGGGGCATCTTAGAATAATGGATACAAGCACAATAGGAACAAAAAGCGGGGGGGGGTGCTAATAACCACCCCAGTGGTGGGGGAAATACCTCAGGTGCTAAAAGCCTGAGGATTTTTTTTAAAAAGCTCTTTGCAAGATAGGTATGGGGGCACCAGGTCAGCTTCAACGGGGAGAGAGCTCTGCTACAACCCACTGAGCCACAACCAAAGAGCCTAGTCCCCCTTGTAGACACGTGCCTCATTCCAGCACCGAAAAGGGGGCCTGGGAAGAGGCTGAAAGCAGGTTTGTCCCTGTGATACCCAACAAGAGGCACAGCAGGCGGCTTTCTCTGCCCCATGTTGCATTTAGCTTTTAGATTTGGGCAAGGGAAGGATGGTCTTGGTAGTTTCGCTATTCGGATGTGCTGACCCAGACAGGATGGGCAGCACCAAAGAACTTGGTAGACTGCACTGCTGAAAGCAAGCCATGTTGGGAGCAGGTTTGTGACTTCTCCTTCTAAAGTGTGCCACAATTTGCGTTCTTTTAAGAAGCAGGGAAATTTGCATAAAATATGGTGTGATTTGTCTAAAATATGGCCGCAGTTTGTGTAAATACAACCACATGTTGTGCACCTTTCTCTTCCTTAAAAATATGCAAATAGTAGTCTGCTTAAAAAAACAAAGGGAACTGTTGTGCTGGGTCAACTTATAATGAAACAAGTCAGCACCCACACTGGGGAGATGGGCTCCAATTTGGGGGAATGAGCAGGTTCAATCTGTTAGATTTTAACCCTCCAAGTGGATTTCTCACACATCCTTAACAAAATTCTTTACACCTAAATGTGTTATGTCTTTTGCACCAGGCTTCCATGGATGGCTCTTTGGGTTCTAGGAAAAAACCCTCAAAATATATCTCTAATGCCTGAAGTCTCCCCTCTCCTGACCATTTAAACTAAGAGGACTTTACAAAGCTTTGCCTTGGGACCTATTTTAATGCCAAGCCAGGTTTGGTTGTGGGAAGGGGGACATGGCAAGCAGGAAAGGACGAGGGTCCCATTAAGTATACACCCATTGAGTATCTTAAAACCAAGGGCTAGTGGGTGCCTGCCAGTCAGCTGCTTTTTCCTCCGCACCATCCCTTCCACAAATGTGAATTGCCGGGTTCATGCTGACATTTTCCCCATGCAATTTACAGCCTGCAGCCATTTCAATTATCACAGCAGCTCAGGGAAAACACCCTTGAGCAATGCCGTACAACCCGGGATGTGGCAGAGGAGGGAGCTTGGCAGCCAGCCTGCAGGCTCCTTCTGGGTGGGGATGAGGGCTGGTGCTGTTTTCCAGGCGCCCCATGCCCTCCCTCAGTGCAGGGGAGGAAGAGGGGAGGAAGGCAGGCAAGCACCTTGTCATCAGGAGCGTTCTTCTCCGCTTTCTGTCCTTCTGGATTTCCTGGAAGCCCAAAAAGAGAAAGGGAAAAAGGATCTGCTTTTAGAGTGGTTAGAGTGGGCAAGGCAAAGGAAGGGCAGAACACACAGAGACCCGAACCGCTACTGAAAAGAAAAAAATATTCCCCAGACATCAAGATTTTTCCTTGTGGTTTGTTTTCTGGGCTTACAAATGAAAGATCCATATGGTTAATCCCAATAGTCCATTTTGATATTTTGACTGTGTTCAGCCTGATGCTGCCCATTACAGCATTTGTGCCTTTGCCTGGCACGCCCTTCGTTTCATTCGCCTCATCTTTGTCGTCTTGTTTCTCTGATAGTGAAGGACCAGCACAAGCAGCGGAGAGCAACCAGGGCCAACGTGACACCCCCAAAGAAAGCAAGAGTCCCAGTGGTGGAAGGGAGGCAAGGCTGGAAACAGAACAGAACAACAGCGCCTTTCTTGGCTCATGCGAGCAAGGGAACAGCAATCCTCCTCCCCTGCATCTGACCTGCCCCATGCACTGATAACTTGGGCATACATACACAGACCTGATGGAGGCTGCTGCTCTTGCCCTCTGCCTCAGGGCAGGGCAGATACTCATCTTCAACAGAGGTGGCTGGAGGAGGGCAGGAAAAGCTCGTGCCTGGCAATCAGCCACCACATGCTATACATGGGAGCAAATGGTCTGCTGTGGGAGGGTCCCTCTGCCACAAGTGCGGGGGGCAGGGAGGCAGAGGGCCACTGCCCCATTCGTCTCTGCTAGGATCTGGGCTTCTGTGGGGCTTCACTTGATGGCCAGAACCAGGCTATAGTCACAGGATCAGTCCCAGGTCCTGCTGGAGCTCTCAGCCTCCTGATGAGCACCAGGTGGGAGCCCAGGGGAAGCAGTCCAGAAAAGCAAGTGCTTCCCTCCAGAACTGGCTCAGCAGCCCAGGTCTCCCTGCTTGCAGTGATGCCTGCAACCTGCCTTACTGTATGCATCCTTTCTTGCCATCCCCTGCCTTGCTGTGCCACCTTAGCAATGCAGGCCTTCCTGTGAGCTGTGGCTCAGCTCCTGACCCTGGCTGTATTTGGTTCCTGTTGTAACCTGCCAGCATCTTGCCTTGTATCCTGCTTTGCTGGGTTGCTTCAGCATGGCAGGTTTGCCTGCTAGCCCGTATCCTGCTTGACCCTTGCAGTGTATCTTGCCTTGCTATGTAGCCCACCATGAGTTGCCTACCTGTTTGTGACCCTTGGCTTGCTCAATACCATGTCCATGTTCTGCCCTGATACATATTTCTGGTTCCTGGCCTCGGCCTGTACCTGTACCATGATTTAGACTTGACGTTAAGCCTTGCTTTGGACATTGGATTCTGCCTTGTCTTGTGTTCTGCTATCCTAGACCTGGTGCCTCTGTCTTGTCTCCTGCTGGCCACATCCCAGCCCTGGACCCTGACAGCCCTGAAAAGAGAGCTGCCTGTGCCATCTCTCACTGAGCAGTGGGAACAACAAGATGGTCTGCAGCACCACACTCTTCCCCAGAGGGACAGTCTTTTAGGGCCAGCTCGTTGTGCAGAGAAAGGAACTCACAGCTGGCTTCTCTCCACCCTCATTTTCAACAAATAGGGAAGACAAGGGAGGGGTAAGGCTGACTTGGTCCAAGCCATTAAGAGGGTTTTCTCTTCCCAATCCCTTCCCCTCATGGGGGAGGATACAGGAGGACCAAAGTCCCTCTCCAGTCCCACCCCTTCTAGGTGCCTTGCCTGAGGCCTCCGCAGGCCAGACGGGACCTCCGGTAGCCAAACAGAAGCTGCAGGCTGCAGCTTTGGCTCCGTGTTTTAGGAGAAGTACACCACAACCACATAATTGTTTCCAGTTAGCCAGGGTGGCAGTACTCTGCTCAGCAAAAAGACCAAGTATGAAGTAAGAGCACATATCTGGTTGTGAAAAAAGCATCTTGCCCCTGCCCCTGGGTGATTACATTAGTGTTCTGCACATCCAAGGATAAGGATTTCTTTTTTAATAGCCTTACCTTCTATTGTTTTAATTTTGGTTAAAATTCATTATTACAACAGTTAAATCATGATCCCAGAGGTTACAAACAAGAAATGCATGCAAGGTATGTCTGCTTTGGCATCACAGGAGTACTTTTGCATTTGTTCAACTGGGGTTCAGATTTTAATGAACTGAAGAGGCCTGTTCACATGAATAAAAGGTGGAGTTCAACTCCAGAATTCAGTAAGCTTTGGTTTCTTAATAGAATGCTCTGTTATCAGCAGACTGACAGGTTGTATCTGACAAATGTGCATATAGAAAATTAAGCAGGACATGGGCATTGATTGGCCATTGAATGTGGGGGGGGGGTTGAATCCTTTGGGAGCCTTGGGAAATCTGTGTAAGCCCCCACCCTGTTACCCTGAGATTAAAATAAGATCCAGGCAGCACAGCCTGATCTCTGTGCTAGGGGAAACATGAATTTTGCACAAGAAAGGCTGGATTTTGCTATTTATCTGAAGTATGCAAATAAAGTAAATCCCCATCCATTTAATTAATTTACATAGATTATTCTTAAAAATTGTAGGGGTGAGAGAAAAGCTATGCAGGACACTAAAACCCCACCCACTGACTAGCTATGCACAGACATGCCTTCTCTGCTCAGTACTCACAGACACTGCACACTCATCAGTCATTCAGTCTAGGGCTGTTGGGAGATATCACCTGTGTATGCCACTTCTGGTCGAGTGGAAAGTATGCCCTGCATCATACTTTCCAGCCTGGTGCCCTCCCTGGTGGCTGGGGATGATGGCAGTTGGAGTCCTGTTAGCAATTTTCCATGCAGCATGGCATCCAAGGACAGATGAGCAGCACTGGAAAACTCATTCATATTTGAACTTGATGGACTTACTGGCCAAATAGCCAAATCAGACTGCGCCAGCTTTAGTTTTTAGCCACAGTGAATGTGCTTGAAATGCAAGTTTGGAATGGAGAACTGCACCCCTCTAGTACAATTTGTGCAGATTAGGGTCAACTTGTTAAATGTGAATCATTATTCTTGTTGTTATTGGTACATGGGGAACATCTTCCTCTCACATGCTCCACCTCAAATTTTCTGGTAGTTAATTTCAGATTGGTGCAAAATTTGTGCCTCCACTCTGCACAGTGTCCACATTTGCAGATTTTGCACAAATTTGTGACGCAGAGGACTGAATGTTGTTCACATTTTCCTTCACAAACACACTCACACACACTGCTGCCCACCTTGAAAACAGAAGTCCATGTGCCAGCTGAACTTTTGTCAAATCAAGTTAGCACACCAAGAGAAAAGCAGGTTGCTTACCTGTAACTGATGTTCTTCAAGTGGCCATCTGTGCATTCACACATATGGGTTGCTGCGCCTGCGCAGTGCCTAGGCCGGAAGATTAGAAAGCTAACAGTTTTTGGCGGGAAAACTCCACTCCCCTCCCCCTTTGTGGTATAAATAGAGTGTCCGCCATTTTGCTCAGTCTTGAAGACCACACATTCGCCCTCTAGAGGTTAAAAATAATGATAAGACACCATTATATTCCCACGGTACCGATGTGAATTATAGTATGGTACTGAGAACAATCTCTAGTCAGCGATATAACCTCCCGGCACCGATGCCATTAATATTTCAGAACCAAAAAAAAAAAAAACACCCAGCGACATAATCCAAATGGTACCGATGCAAATTATAGTATGGTACCGAGAAAAAACACGATATCCACTCACCGACACCAAGTGGGGCCAGCGGGTGGGTTGTGTGAATGCACAGATGGCCACTCGAAGAACATCAGTTACAGGTAAGCAACCTGCTTTTCTTCGTCGTGGCCTCTGTGCATCACACATATGGGTGATTCGCAAGCTTACCAGACTTGGCGGAGGGAGGTGTCATCACTGAAGAACGGATGAGAGAACAGCTCTACCAAAAGAGCAATCCCGTCTGGCACGTACATCAAGCCGATAATGCTTGGCGAAAGTACATGGACCAGCCCAGATCGCAGCTCTGCAGATGTCTTGCAACGGAACCCCTGTGGCAAAAGCGGACAAGGTTGCTACTGCTCGTGTAGAATGGCCAGTTGGAGAGACAGGTAAGTCTATTTTCGACAGCTGATAAGCCAGGACAATAGTCTGGGTGATCCAATTAGAGAGTCTCTGAGATGATATTGGTGATCCCCTTTTTTGCTCAGAGTATTTAACAAAAAGTCTATTAGTAGTAAGAAAAGATTCAATGCGGGATCTGTAAAAGGCCAAGCAGCGGCGAACATCAAGCGTGTGTAAAGCACGTTCTATCGGGGGCGACGGCGACGGAAAGAAAGCTGGTAGAACGATATCCTGATTCAGGTGGAACGATGTGGCCACCTTGGGTAAAAAGGAGAAATCCATCCGAAGGACAACTTTTTCCTTATGGAAGTTCAGAAATGGTGGGTCTATGCGGAGAGCACAAAGCTCGCTAGCTCTGCGTGCTGATATAACCGCTACTAGAAAGGCCGTCTTCCATGACACCAGGCGTAAGTCCGCAGTTGCTAAAGGCTCGAATGGTGGTTTGGTAAGCGCTTGGAGTACTAGAGAAAGACTCCACGTCGGCATGGCAGGGCAAATAGACAGATGTAAATTTTGTAGTCCCTTAATGAAGCGCCGAACCAGCGGTTGTGAGAAGACTGATAACCCGTGTATAGTGCCACAATAATGGGATATAGCGGCTACATAAACTTTGACGGATGACGGTTTAAGTCCCTCATGATGCAAATGTAAAAGAAATTGTAAGATATTGGTGACTGAAGCCATTGCAGGGGAGAACGAATGGCACTCCGCAAAAGAGGAGAATCTTCTCCATTTAGATGTATAGGAACGACGAGTGGACGGTCTTAATGCAGATTCGATAATCGCCTGAATTTCTCTGTCGGCAGGCATCAGTATCGTGATATTCGCTGTCGAATTCGAAGTCGGGGCTGCATATACCGTGTGTTGAGTAAGGTCACCCGTAGCGTGAGGTGTACCCGGTACCGACTCGGTGACATGAA